TCAAACAGCCACAATAATTATTCATGTGGGCAGAGACGAGGCTGTGAGGATCTTTCTGCACACTAATTACATCTATTTCAGCACTGCTCATGCCAGGGGATTTTTCATTGCTGCTTCAGACTTTTGTGAAGTTTGGTGACTAACTATGTGTGTCTGTTGTTTCTGTGTGTCAAATCAGACATAGAGGCATTAAAAAAATCCCAGCCTCACCATATGAAATTCAATATAATATCACCACAGCCTTTGCCTTCCCATTTTCAGAAGTTAAGTGTTGTCACCRCTGTCAGCACAAACACACCTCAGCAGCCTAGTTCTGCCTTTACAGGAAAACAAAAAGATTTTTTTTTTTTGCTTATAATAACTGACAATAGTTTCTTTAAATGTGGGTCACTGGGCAAAGCATGCTTAATGCATCTCGAGCTGATTACTATTTTCTCACTCATGATGCATAAAGTTGTACTCAGTGTCGAGAAATGAAAGCCCTCCCACACAACACATCCGAGCTCCACTCAGTTCTTTCCACTGGGTCAAGCAAGAGACTTCAAACTTCACCCAAACCTCRTGTGTGAGGTGGGGTACAGAGATGGCACAGCAACAAGTAACTTCAAGCCCAAAGAGAAGAGCCCAAAGAAATCCTCTCTGCAGCTCCACAAACAGGAGGGAAAACACAAAACAGCCCCTCATTCCACATCTGACTCTAAGGTGCAGCAAAAAGCCAGCTAAAGAGCAGAAATAAATGGTGAGATCAGCATGRGACTAACAATAATTCTGTGTGAGAGTCAGACTAGCAAAACCTGCTGGTGATTATTCCCCGTTGAGCCCTGGACTGCAGTGGGGTTTGCCTTTTAGTGCTGTGTTTACATGGTAAGGGATGGATCAGACCAGAGGAGAAGCATCTGAATCATGGGCATTGCATTCCATTTTGTGCTGAATCATATTCAAGTTTCATTTTCGGTTTAGGGGTTACCAGAGAGTGCACAGCTCAGACTTCAACTGCCTCCAGAACAACTGGGACCTGCACAAGTATGAATCTCCAAACAAACWGTATACTTTATCTCTGCTGAGTGTAATTTTCTGTTGAAATTGTTATATTCTAGCAAACCTTCTTTATGCCTCCTTAAAACAAATGATACCCCAAATACTATCATCAGACAGATTAATTTTACAGTCACATTAAGCAAACAAGATGTTCTTTTTGCTGTCTCTAGGAAGACTTTCCTCGGTTTATGCACTTTTTTTTTTTTTTTGGAACAATGCAGTGGCAGAACTACATGTGACATTTTCTTCCCTAAATGGTACCTGCTGAGAAAAATTCCACCATTAAAAATGGCCCACGCTAACATTTAAATGTTGATAATAATTAGCCTGACATTTGAAATACAGTGGTTGCACTGTTGTCTTGAAGATGTTCTGCTCAACATTACCTAACTAGCCCCTTTTCATACTTACGTGCTCTCTGTACATTATTCTGTCAGTTACTGAACAAATAAGACATCAGTTGCTAATGTATTAACATGCAAAAACTACGCTTAAGGGCCAAACACTGCCCCCAGTCCACAATGTAACTCCCATTGATGTCAAGTACTGTTAAGGTTGTGACAACCAGTAAAAGAAGGGAGCTGAAAAGTAGGGGATCAATTTTCTCCCTGATCTGCAAGGAATTTATGCAAACGGCTCCGTGCAGAATGAGGGATGGGAAAGGCGGCGGYGTGGGTCGTGCCACCGGATGGGGACTGCTGGTTTCCTCCTGCTCTGGCCCATTGTGCACAGCCTCAGCCAGGGCATCTTGACTTTCTGAGAAGTGCCCCATCACTCCAGGTGTGCTGGATGGTCAGGTCACATCACTGCCTGCTCTTTATGTAACATAAAAATAGGTGGTTGCTAAAAAGTGGCGACAATGAGCAAGCTGAAAAGGAAAGTATCCATGGAAGGACAAAAATGTGGCTTTCTCCTCTTTGGGTGCTGAAGAGTTGCACACTCCTTATGACTTATCTCCTGCTCAGGAGTGGCCAGTGGGGTGACCAGAGGAGAAAGCATGGGATAAGTCTCAGGAGAAGCAGGCTTGGAAAAGGGAGAGGAAAAACTGGTTTCTTCCAACTGGTGCTTGGACATTCCCAAGCCATGAGCATGTATCCTGCCTTGGGGTGTGCAAATGATTTAGGGTAAAAAGACTGACATGTGGGTAAATTCTGCATGTAGACAGGAGAATATTTTTTATGTTTAAGAAACAGAATCCTCTAATGCTCACAACACAGTGGAGCACKTTAAGTGTAAATTATATAGTCTAGGAATGGAGAAATAGCATTGCCCCTGCATTTCCTTGCTTTTGCCATCTCCAGATTGTAACCAGAGAAGGCCTCACCTGCTCTGAGTGTGTGTGACTGCCATCTCCTCTGCTCTGTTACTAATGAGAGTTTCTCATCCTGAGARAAATGAGGATGACACAAGTGATGCGACAGGAAGCTTGGGGTACACCCACTCTTTTCCCCCTAGAATAAAC